AAAAACACACCCCTGATTAGCTCTTTCAGCCAATCAGGACTTCCCAAATGAACTGGAAACAGAACTCTTTAAATGTCGACACTTCCTAGTTTCAACCAGTGCGGTGGGAGAGCAGTTCAGTTCGGAGGGCAGAACCGAACAGAAAAGTTGCTGGAGAGAACAGGAGGTTCCAGACATGATCCGAAGTTCTTCCGAGTCTTGTGGGAATTATGGAATCTTCCACATCTGAGTGGAGCCTCTGACGGACTTACTCCTCATGTGAGTCCACCCGTGAGGTGAACGTGTGTCAAACGAAGTTCCGTCACTACTTCGGACGATTCACAGCTGTTCCTACGGAGATGCTGGAAAGGTGGCGTTAAATGGAACTCCGTACCAGTGGAGACATCTTCTACAGGTAAAGAGTCCATTTCCACTACCTAAGTGTCCCGAGGAAGCTGGGATCTAATGGAGAGTGCCGTTCTGATACAGACACCTATTCCCTCATCCATCCTTTATCTCCATTTAAACTTCATTTCCCATCTTTAAAACTCTTCTATCTTGCCAGAAATTAGTCCAGATATTTTCAGAAATGTCTGTTGTAGAGCTTGAACCCAGATACCATGGCCGTATGGTCTCTGATTGTAAAGCTAATTAATTAAGCTGTTATTGTAATCAATTTTGCCAAATTAATGTAAATGTTTGATGTTAAACTTTGATTCTGTTAATAAATGACGGCATGCATTTTGATGGGTCAAAGAAAATTAACGTCTCACGTCACATTTAATCGTTCAATGCACGGTAGAACTCAGTCCAGAAAAATGAAAGAATCCGTTTAATTTATGAATAATATCTCACAGATATATGTTCATTTACACATGGACAAATATAACAAAAAAGAAAAAGGTCAGAAGTACTCTTGCTGGGGAAGTTTGCAGACTCCAAATAGATGATTGCTACAGAAACCACAAGAGGGCAACAACTCACATCTAAATGTGAAGTTATTTCAACAAATTTTCAAGCATCAACCTACACCCCGTGAAACTTACCATCATTATGTGAACATGTACAAAAACATGACAATGTTATAGTATTTCACCATTTTTTTTGCCTCCCTTTATGATTTCCATCTATAACATTTATCGATTTACCTCACATAAAAATACAAACTACTTTAACAGCTATTGTTACTAAAATGTACTTGTACTGGTGATCAAAATATATTATTTTAAGGTTTCAGTAGAAGCAGATTAACCAAAGCAACAACGATAAAAGGCGTTACATGGGCAATAAGATCTAACTGTGAGGGTGAATAAATGAATAAAGTGGGTTGCTCAGAACTTTACAACAGCACCATTGCTATGGGCCTACCTTTTGGAATGCTCTTTAACCAAGTCATGCTCTTTCTTTCACCAATGAATGTAGCGCTCCTGTACTGGTCCTCTTTTATCATACGTACTATAAAGACTCAGTACATACTCATAAAAAACATTTTCTCTTTGCAAAAATCCGTCTGGATTCCTTTTCTCTGAACTGCTACTTTACACTTCACACAAACCAGCTAGCTGCTACACAATCTACATGTCTGTGTGGAAATATTGGATATAGTTGTAAAAATAGACCAAAGTATGCTTATGGATCATTATTACTGCCAAACATCAAAAGGAGAATAGTGTTTTCACCTGTGTCTGTTACCAAAATATTTTAACCAATGAACAAATTTGAATAAAACCTGCAGACAAAAATCGTAGGATGAACATAAACCACCTTCAGTGGTGGTTTTTGATATGTGCAATGCAGATAATCGCACGGGGGGCATGTCGACAAGGGCGACACGAGCGGCCCCGCCCTCACACTCTAAAGAATGAAACACATTATTTCATATAGACTGTCTAGCCTACATATCAGTTTTCTATTGCCCACTTGCAGGGAGTGGGCACGCTCTGCCAGATGCAGGGCGTCTAGCTTCTGCTGAGGTCTGACACACAGGTGGTGAAAGAAGGAGAGGGAGATGTTCTCGTCTCCCTTACTGGGCCAGGGATCCATCTAATTGTACATCTAATACAATTAGTTTGCTACGTAAATACCAGGATTGATTGCTCCCAGTCAAAGCACATTTCGTTCATAATATTGAGCATACAGCCAACAGTTCACAGCTTATGTGTGTGAAATTGCTGAAAAAATAATACAGAAACAAATGTGCACACCAAGAAAGGCAAATGAGTTTAGGACTAAGTAGTTTTGACTCATGCTGGGAGAGTGTCAATTACACACATGGAAGATGGACAAGAACAGATCAAAGCCAGCAGGAACAAGAGAAGAGAAGAAGAGGAGAAATGAGCTAAAGATGAAGGTGTGCAGCTGTGTCATCTCTTGGAGCATGACAGGTGTTTTGTTATATAGGCTATAGCCTGTTGCAAGATAGGCTTAATTAATAACATAAGACACTAACTGTTGTTTACATGTAGCTGCTTACGATGACATATTTGGTTTTGGGGCGGCTGTGGCTGAGTGGTTAGAGCAGTCGTCCTCCAGTGCGAAAGCTAGGGGTTCAATTCCACCAGCAGTCACATGTTGAGGTGTCCCTGGGCAAGACACTGAACCCCTAACTGCCTCCAATGTGTGTCCCATCAGTGTCTGAATCTGAGCTAAAAAAGCACAGCTTGTTTATTTTTTTTGTATAGATCTAGTAAAGTGCTGTATGAATGGGTAAATAAGGGCACATACTATGATGTAAAGCACCTTTGAGTATCTTGATAAGATGGAAAGGCTCTATATAAGTACAGTCCATTTACAACTTTCAGCAGCATTAGTCAGTTTTACAGATATTAAGCTGAAGCTTACAAGAAGCTTAGAGACAATCACAACATACATTGAGGGTAACGCTGTATCATGAGATTGTGCATAAGGTGCTCTTTAAAGGTTTGACCAGACCAGCTACAATTTTGTCAGTTCTCATTTTGAAATGATTTTAGCCGAAACTATTTTTAATTTAATACTTCAAATACAAATATGGAACAAGATGAATCCTGATGCAAACCATTCATAGGGTCCATACCGTTTTATTTGTTGTGAAATCAAACGGTTAGGAACTCCAACAAAAGCACCAAACCTTTGTATGTGCTGCTGAAACTTTGTATGTTGCATGTTGGGTTTCTGGGGTAACAGCACAGCCCAAAGCTATCCTGAAGTGTTTGCTTGGAAGGATCTGGAATCTTGCTGTTTGCTTTTTAAGGCCTGATAGGTCTCCAGCAGGAACATTCCTGGGGAGAGAAGGCAGAGCTTTCCGAGGGGCAATTGTTTCAGATTGAGCAGGGCGGATACAGGGGGTTCTGAATCCTGGATGTTTGCTGTGGCTAAATCTTATCCATGGAGACCCAACATGAAATTAGCATGGTTCTCCAACCTTTCCAAATCTCTATATCTTCTCTTCACAAGCAGGATTCATGTGTATTTTGGTTCATTTTGATTAAAAACGTGTTTTTTTTATGCTGAATTAAATGAAAAAAAAAAAAACATGCAAATGCATAAAATTGTAGTATTACCATTACGTCTAACAGCATTCAAAAATGTTTGTATGTAGCATTTACCATTACAAGCATTTAAATCCAAACGTCCATAAAAGACAGGTACTTTTATCATCACCTTCTGCTAATAAAGATATGAGACCATGAAATTGTCTGTGTGTACGTGTGTGTACACGTGTTTGTGTGCGCGCGTGTGTATTGAACCTTTGTCTGATTGTTTGCACAATGTCTCAAGAGTCAATAGACAGATTTTGATGAAAGTCTCAGAAAGTACAGTAATCAATGGATGTACATTTCAACTGATCAACTTTGGAGCCGCTACAATTAAACGTTTCAAACACAAAATTGGCTATAACCTTTTCACTTTTACAGATACTGAGGAGCGGCACGGTGGAGCAGTTGGTAGAGCTGACGTTTCTCAGCGAGAAGGTCGCCGGATCAAATCCCGGCTGGGGGGGCCTTTCTGGGTGGAGTTTTCATGTTCTTTCCGTGCATGTGTGGGTTTTCTCTGGGTACTCCGGTTTCCTCCCACACCAAAAACCAAAAACATGCATGTTAGGCTGATTGGTAACTAAATTGTCCCTAGGTGAGTGAGAGAGTGAATGGTTGTTTGTCTCTATGTGTCCCTGTGATGGACTAGACACCTGTCCAGGGTGTCCCCCACCTCCCACACAGTGTCTGCTGGACACGGATACCAGTGACCCCCCGTGACTCGAATAGCAAGAAGTGGGTAAAGATGATGGATGGACATATCAGTGCTGAGATATCTAGTGTGGTAGTAGCTGAGAGTAATTTATAACACATTCAAAATGTCATCTTTGTGTTAACTTTGTTTGTTAGCAAAATAAACAAAAAACAAAATCATCTCATCGATCACTGGATAGATTTTAATGGAGCATTCATAAAGTAATTACAAGATAAAATCTACAACCCAATTCAAAATGAACACAACAGCTAATCAAACATAGCAAAGAAAAACAACATAATTCAGTCCATTGTAAACGTTGAGGTACAACTTGATGTGATAGTAGCTTTTTATTTTTATTTTTTCAAGCTTAGAGGCATCTTCAATATATACTAGTGCTAACAGATGTCAGAAACTCTTTGTTTTAGATTTTGGCATGTAAGATTGCGAGCAACATGCATTCCTATAGGAATTTCTGCTTGTATTAAACATTTCTTTGAGACAACTTTGTCAAAACTAAACAATTTCTATTTATTTGGGATAATGAATGTACAATTAACATGAGACAAAAATGCCATGCTCTTTTACTAGTACACGTCTACACTCCTGCGTAAGTGCCGTTGTAAAAAAATGGCTTGTCTGTCACACAATGACCTACGACCTCAGGTGTCCATCTCTGAACTTTGGGTTTGCTATCCTGGCCAGGTCGGACAATGACGGTGCTTCTAGATGCTACAGAGGGGTCTTCGTCAAAGAAGTTGAAGGGTCGGAGAAAGAAGCCCACAGCGTTGCCAGGTGTTGCTGTGTTGGGGATGTCTTCTGAATGAGGCACATGGAGAAAACCCACTGTGACCCAGGCTACCAGGTCCTGCACACAAAAGAGTACATATTCCCCAGGATTTTCTCATTAGAACAGAAATTGTTTTTATTCTTCCTAAAACAGTAAATAAAAAGGAATGCAAGTGTTTGGGAGTTACATTACCATGTTATTAAGGTCTGATGAGCATATTGTCCTATGAAGAGTTGATCTTAACATATAGCATAAAAACTATGGGCCGCGTATGGCCTCTCCATTTAAAAAGTTGATTATGTATTACTTTCGACATACTGTGGATTTGGTTTAATTTTCTTGTTTTACTTTTTTCTCTAAATAACCACCAACAAAGCAAAATGATAATGAAGAACAATAATGTTCAATGATAAGATACTGATATCTGAGATATCTTCATTTGGTGAAACTTCTGTGCCGAGCATATCTATTCACACTTTGATGCTTGGATTTGGTCTCTGAGTGATACGGTCTCCCAGTTATGACAAGACTGGTGGCATTATGCCTTAATAATAAGCTTTGTTCAAATATGCACTCTGAGATTAGACAAATTCTGCTGCTTGGATTTGTCTCATCCCTGGCTTGACAGTCCTTTTGTAATAAATTGATACAAAGCAAACAAACTGGGTCTTCCTGTCTACCTTATATTTTTGACGACAGATAACAGCAATGCCACAAAGGCTGGTAATAACACTTAATATCAAGTTTACAGTCTTGGTAAACAATATTTATTTTTGTTTATATATAAATAAGCAAGTAAGTCTTGGCTCCAAATTGCACTGTTAGTTTTTCTGACATTCATTCCATGATCACACCATGGCCATGCATAATGTACAGTATGTCATGTAACTGAATATTAAGGTCATACCTTGTTGACTATGTCTTCATTGTTGCGGACGAAGTCCTCAAAGGATACTACAGGGTCCCAGGGGTCATTCTGAGTGTAAATACTGCTGCTAGTGATTTCACTATCTTTATGGCGTGTCACAGCCAGAGGATATCTGGAAAGAGATAAGTCAAAGTTTGCATTGTACGATAACAGTTGGTCTTTTAGTTAATTAGTTTAAAAGTGATATCAAAGTATTGTGTTGTTTTTGTTTTTGCTTCCTTTGCTTTTGTAAATTAAAAATGTCAAGATAAGAGCTTGTTTGAAATTTTGGGTCAAGACTTAGCTTTCAGCCTTGCCACACAAGTCCTTACACTGGCTGCCTGTTCGTTTAAAAATTGATGTTAAAATGATTTAATTGGTTTTCACGGCCCTTCACAGCCAAGCACCAGACTATACCAGAAAGACAGATTTTCAAGAATTTTCATTCAGTTCATCTGGACGGTTTCTTTTTTTGTGCTGAGACGTTTTGCCTTCCATCCAGAAGGCTTCATTAGTCAAGGGAACACACAACAAAAAAACTGATTTTTCCCCCCAACAGCTTACTCCAAAGTGGAAAAAATACGTTATGTTGGTGCTAAGATGGTATCTGGGGTACGCCAGCAGTTTGACATGACTGTTGCCGAGGGAGACGGCGGGCACCAGAGGAGAGTTCATGCCCCAGAAATCGTCTTAGAAACAATATTTAACTGTTTTTTTTGTTCCACTTTGGAGTAAGCTGTTGGGGGAATATCAGTTTTGTTTGGTGTTTCCTCAGACTGATAAAGCCTTCTGGATGGAAGGTGAAATGTCTCAGCACAAAAAAAAAAAAGAAACTGTCCAGATGACCTGACTGGAAATTGTTGGATTTTATACCTGGATTATTGAGCATGGACTTTGGTGAAAGATGGGTTTTGTTTCTGAATGAGGACATCCACTCATGTCCTCTGGTTCCTCACTTTTAGCTGTTCCACATATGTAGCAGAACAAAACTTTTGGGGATCCTGCTTTTGCACTGAGACTGTGGAATGACCTGCTCGAGGGTCTGAGGGGAGTCCATAATTGTGTTACTTTTAAACGTGGATGAAATACCCATCTGTTTGGGCTGGCTTTTATATAGGTTAGCTTTATTTTTATTTTTTCCTTCTTCACTGGAAAGTACTTTGAATTACATTTGATTTGTATGAAAGGTGCTATAGAAACTAAACTTGATTGATTGATCACAATAGGTGATCTTGTGAAAGTGAAATGTGTCTAAATGTCTTTAATAAGGAATTACTGGTATAACACTGTCCTGGAAAAAATACACTGATAGTTGAGGAGCTGCCATTTTGCGTGCCGCTCAGGTTCTTTCAGATTTTTGTGACTGTGGCTTATATTCATCTCAAGGCTAATGTAAAAAAAGTATCTTAGGTTATCTCCCAAATCCTGCAGAAACTTCAGCCTCCACCTCCATATTCTCCCTAACTTAATTCCAAGTGATTTAAATCACTGTTCCCAGGTTAAAACAGAGAGTTTCACCAGTATGTGTCCTGTCCCACTAGGGGAGACAAGATCAATGACCAATGTTATAGGTCTATTAAAGATGCCTATAAATCAGTTCCTAAACCCTCACTGGGTTCAGCTAACTCTGTGTGCATTCAGCTCCTAAACGCTGGACATGTCCACAGGGAGTGAAAGTGACAACCAGGAACATTAAATTGTGGTCTTAGGATGCCATACAGTCTCTGCAGGGCTGCCTGGTTTGGAAACGTTCATTAACTCATCTTGTTCAGTTCCTAGATATTGTACTGTAGGGATACTGATACACCTGTAAAGGCTGTTACCACTTAGCCCAACAGTAAACTGTGGATGAAACAATGAAAGATACTACTTGATAAAAAAAAAAAAAAGATCAGGCACAAGGTAACATTGCTGTGCTAATAATGGTACAAATGGAGAATAAATGGGAAAAGGGACAAACTAAATTAGAAACAAAAATCTTTAAGTTTAGGATAAAGAATCTAGGTCCAGTCAGTGATGGCATCTGGACTATGGTAGGTCAGACTATCAACATGACAAAAAGGATTTCACTTACAGGGTATGCTTCAGCTGTGCTTTGATTTAAGAACAGATATATCAAGGTAATATAATCCATTGTCTTCTCTTTCTTCCAAAATTACATCTTTTTTAGCAATTGTAATCCTAAAATCAATGCAAGACCTAAAGGGTTTTGTGGTCTAATGCTCTCAAACTATGATAAGCAACTAGATCGTATTTTTAAATACATATATAACTTATTCCATTAGCAGATGGTTCCCAAAAAGTCAGTCATGGTTCCTTTTGCCAATCAAATCACCTTAAGTGATTAAAGAATAAGGAACAATATCAAGTACCTGCCTCCCTCCTATACACACACTTGTACTCTGGCTTATTAGGACTGACTTTCATTCATCTTCTTCCAATTGCATACCTCTAACTTTCCAAGTTCATTTCCACCTGCTACTACAAATCACAATGTCATCTGCAATCATCATAGTCCATGGGGTTTCCTACCTGACCTCATCTGTTAGTCTGTCTAACTCCAGAGCAAACAAGAAGGGGCTCAGAGCTGATCAGTGATGCTGTCCCTCTTTTATTTTGAAGATATATGTCATTCCTCCAAGACATCTCACTAAATGGACTGTACTTATATAGCGCTTTTCTATTTTATCGTGATACTCAAAGCGTTTTACAACACAATCTGTGTCCTCATTTACTCATTCATACAGCACTCTACTAGATCTCTACAAAGCTAATTGAACAAATCATTCTAAGGAGACTAATCAGTACTGTATCTCATTCATACACAGATGGGACACACATCAGAGGCATCGAGGGATTCAGTGTCTTGCCCAGGGACACTTAGGCATGTGACTGTTGGTGGATTCAAATCCCCAACTCTTACATCAGAGGATGACTGCTCTAACTACCCAGCCACAGCTGTCCAATCATAATATGTGAAGGCAATGAATGCTTACAAAGGCCAGTAAGTATCAAGTGAGGTATGGATAGAAGGAAAAGTTTACCTCACAATGTTCAAAGCACATCAGGGTAAATTATTTTTATGCAAGTGAAACTATTACCATTGAAAAGTATATTTGATGTTTATTGTTTTGTTTTTTTTGCACTGCCTATTTTCTTTTATTGTTGACAATTATTTAAAAATGTTTTTGGTCCTAAATTATTGATATATCTATCCATACTTTATGCATTTACAAAAATCTTACCTATGTGTGTGAGGTCTGAGACATAGGACCTTGCGTTTTGCTTTTAACATCTTTAACAGTTGAATGTTATGGTACTGGGTTGTCAAGATTCAGTCCCACAGACAGTCAACTACTTTACTTCTGTTCCTAGGTCAGCGATTAATTCCTTTATATGTAGTTCCCCTAGATCAATAATGAGAATTTACACTAAGGAAGACTTAAATGCAGACTATGTCTCATTTTAGACATAATGTTCAATACAGATTGGTATAACTTTATATTTATGAACAATATAAAAACACAGAACAGCCTAGTACAGTTACTTGGTATTTTGAGAAGCATATGAAATATGTGCAATTACCTTGCCCAACTAATGCCATTTTCCTCTCTCCAGCCTTTAGGAAGAACACTATGTGCATGTGAATTATACTGAATACGATAACCCTTCTGGTGCCCCCATTTACTCTTCTCATTAGGGTTGTAAAAATGCAAATAGCGGGGAAGTTTCTTGCCAAAACGAAAAGCAGCTGATCGTTCAGTCTTGTGCTCCGTCCTGTGTAATTTGGATTGAACAATGAAATTCTTTGGGCTCCATGGATTTGTAAAGTTTACGTATTTTAGTTCCATCGTCTCAAAGCTGTTTTCTCGACCTGTGAATAGAAAAGACAAGAACTGACATGCACCGCATGAGCTGCACAAACTTACTGTACATGTAAAATGTTTGTTGTCTATTTAAACACCAAAAATTTTATTGTTGCAACAATTATTAAATCCCACCATCTATCCATTCATCCATACACCCATTTTCAACTGCTTGTATAAGCTTGCATCGTAGCATAGTGGTATAGTGGTAACAGGTCAAAAAGAGAAACCCATGAATCGATTCCCCTAACAAAACTGTCTCAATTTCCCCTGAGATCACCTCATGTGGATCCTGGGAAAGGATATCAATTATCCCTAGCAAGTACTAGAGTTTGCCCTGTGGTATCCCCCAGAATGATATATTTGAAACACTTCCAAACAAACAACAGCTGAAGTTATCCTCAACAGGATTCCTCACACATAGAGTGTGTTCCAACTACAGGGGGATCACGCTCTTAAGCCTCCCTGGTAAGGTCTATTCGGGGGTTCTGGAGAAGAGGATCTGTCAGATAGTCAAACCTGGGATTCAGGAGGAGCAGTGCGGTTTTCGTCCTGGTCGTGGAACACTGGACCAGCTCTACACACTCAGCAGGGTCCTGGAGAGTGTGTGGGAGTTTGCCCAACTGGGTGCTTTGTGGACTTGGAGAAGGTGTTCGACCGTGTCCCTCGGGGAACCCTTTGGGAGGTACTCTGGGAGTATGGGGTACCGGGCCCTTTGACACGGGTTGTTAGGTCCCTGTATGACAGTGTCAGAGCCTGGTCCGCATTGCTGGCAGTAAGTCGGGCTTGTTACCGTTGAGAGTGGGACTCGGGCAAAGTTGCCCTTTGTCACCGATTCTGTTCATAACTTCTATGGACAGAATTTCTAGGCACAGCCAAGTTGTTGAGGGGATCCGTTTTGGTGGCCTTAGGATTGCGCATCTGCTTTTTGCAGATGATGTGGTCCTGTTGGCTTCATCAGATTGTGATCTACAACTTTTGCTGGAGCGGTTCGCAGCTGAGTGCGACACGGCCGGGGTGAAGATCAGTTCCTCCAAATCCGAGGCCATGGTCTTGAGCCGGAAAAGGGTAGAGTGCCCTCTCCGGGTCAGGGT